TCAACAATTGAATACTGTACGAAAAAAAAGCAGTTTTATCACCAGTGGCGCGATATTGTTCATCAGAATTTTAAAGATATGCTCTTTTTACATTTTTAAAATTATTTTGCGATATTTTTTTTTATTATTATTGAAAATTTTAAATCCTTGTGCACCACATAGTATTACACAAGGCTTACAGAGGTAAGTAAAAAAAAATACAACAACAACACAAAATAAAATAAACTTACAAATTCACAGATGATACGTAAGAGATAAATTTACAGAAAAATGAGAAAGCCATTTTATGTTGGACAAAAACATGAAGAGGGGGAGGAAATGTAATATTCACAGAGTTTAACTTAGAAATGAGTTCCTTTCGTCCTTCCTTGAGCTTTGAACAATAGAACAACAAATGTTCGACATTTTGCACTCCCCCGAAACTGAATGAACACAAGTCTGTACTAGATAATCTAAATCTCTTCAGATATGAATTGAATTTACCATGTCCAGTTAGAAATTGAGTAACTTCAAAATTGCAGGAAAAGTGTTTATTATTCAGTTTGTGAGGAATGGAAGGAAAATATAGTTTAGTCAAAGAGGCAGTAGTAGAATTCCTGTATAGTTCACTCCACTCGAGTATTGTATCATCCCTACTTTTGTTCTTGTAAAATGACTTAGGAAGTATCATTGGAGTAATTACTTGAAGATGTTTAGCTTGTTTTGCCAACCAATCAGCCCGTTCATTTCCTAGATTGCCAGTGTGGCCACGTACATGAGAAAAGATAACATCAACACCTTTATTATTAAGGTCTTTAAGAAGAGCATGGGAAGTCACAATTAATTTATTATATGAGAAGATATTCCTAAGAGAAAATAAGAATATCTTCTCATATAATAAATTAATTGTGACTTCCCATGCTCTTCTTAATATTTCTTCCAAGCTCTTTCTTCTCCCATGCTCTTCTTCGATATTTCTGTTGGATTGAATTTTATGGTTTAAGTGCGAAGAACATGATATTTAATACATAAAGGTAACACACACGTAAAAATGCCCCTTCGGGCGCAATATAAAATCTGAAAGATTTCAGACTTATTTTTATTTATTTTTAGACCAAAGGGTCAATTTTTCCTGAAGGACTATTATTTTTGTTTTGGCATTTTGCAATTTTTCACTATAAATGTCCGATATACTTTTCAAATTGTTGCCACCAAATATTATTGCCCTGTATTATATTTAAAGAAATTAAATAATGAAGAATCTGCATAAATGTATGTATGTTTCTCGATTTTTGATAAAACGACGCTACCTAGAGCCATCCGATTTCGAATGACGTAATCCTACTGCGAATGTGGTCATCTGGAAACCCAAAATTCGAAATTTGGAATTTGTTTTATTATCGATTTCATATTTTGTAAAACTAACGAATTTGTGGTTAACAAATTCAAGGATTTCAAAGCGAGCAACAGCAATGTTCTACAGAAAAATCATTCTTATCTACAGCGCGTGAGACTGTGCATCGGAAATTCTAAAGATATGTTCAATTTAAAATTATTTTGCGATATTGCTCTTGAACTGAATTTTATGGTTTAAGTGCGAATAACATGATCTTTAATAAATAGAGGTAAGACACAAAATGTTAAAAAACGCCCCTTTGGACGTAATTTAAAATCTGAAATATTTCAGATTTTCCTTTTTTTTTATTATTTGCATCTGTTTATTTTTTAACAATCCCCCCCATTCAGTGTTATTGCACATCGTTTATTTATTTTTGGTATAGCTTACTTGTGTAAGCCTCGTGTTATACTTTGTGGAAGACGAGGAGCTAAAGTTAGAGTTAACCGAAGAAAAAGCATAAAAAAAGTTTCATGCTGTCAGTTCGATGAGATTGCAAATGTGTTGCGTATTTTGAGCTGCTTTCAAGAAAACAAACTATCATCTTAAATGTTTGCTGTCAACAACTTATGAAACTGGATTAAGCAATTAAAGAGAAAATGTCTAAATTGTCGAATCGTAAAGGAATCTTGTTCCTCTATGCCAGGGCGAGGCCCCACACATTTTTAGCAACATGTACGAAACTACTGGAGCTTGGCTGGGAAGAGATATCGCATTCCCATATAGCTCTGAATCGTTTATTATTGGATTATTATTTACTTCGCAATTTACAAAACTTCTAAAATAGTAAAAATTTTAGTTATAACGATGACCTCAAATTGCTCTTGGTTGAGTATTTTACTGATAAAAGGCCAGAAGTTCTATGAGCACGGAATCATGGAAGATATCAGAAAGATGACAAAAGGTCATCGAATGGATGGAAGATATTTGACTGACTAAAATAATTTATTTTTGTGTAGAAAAAAATTTAGTTTTATTTCTTACCAAAAAACCGAAATTACTTTCTTGCCAACCCAATACTTTTACAGATTGTAAATGATGAAGTTGATTGTGATTCATTAATATCGGGCCAATGAATGGAATAGTCCTTTTTACAGTCCTTTTTGGCAACGTAGGTTTTGTTTTCAGCTTGATTTGATCTTAAAGGATGGGTTAGTATCTGTTACATAAAACTATAATATGTTTTAGTAGTTTATAACTTAATTTTCTATTTTCTCAAAAGTATTTCTCAAAAGATGAAATATGATGCAATGTATTTATGATAAATTGCTTGGAAAGTTTCTAGGAAAAAAGATTACTTTTATCAGGACCCAAATGTTTTTCCATTGTGTTGGTCTTCCTTTTCTTGTAAAATCACTTGCTAAATCATTTCTCAGAAATAACGTTCCGCTTAAATTTTATCGCCTGCGATATGCAATCACTTTAAAAATAGATCCAACAATTAAGTAACTTAGTGTAAGATTCCTCGTCACATAATCATTACCAATTTTGAAATATTACATATATATTGTAATGCTAATTAAGTTGCATTTTCTTGTTGCATATTCCTAAGAACAGAATATGTAGAAAATGTTTATGATAGAGTACTTATGCCAAAATTTTGAAGTGTTGGATTATAAATATTGACACTTCCACAATTTGAACTCATGAAAGCTCTAACTGGAACTCCTCTAAATAGGATGGAAGAAGATCTCAAAATTTATTTGTGGACAAATTCAATCTTGACTTCGTAATAAATTAAATTCGCAGTCAATTTTTATTTAAAACTGTTGTATCATAAATTATAATACGACGTTTAGCTTAAGAGAGCTTCTCCTGACGCATGCGCCGTTCGCGTTTATCCGCGCGGTGATGACGTAACTGTTTATTACGTATGTATGTATATGTATACCATTCTTACTTCTTCGCCCTTTTTTTTTTCTCTGCTGTACGCAACAATGTTTAAGTTAATCTCTGTCATTAAAAATGTTCATTGATGTTATAATCTGTTTAGGCCCATTTATTTCTTCAAAAACAGAGTGAAAAATTTTTAAAAACTCAGTTAATTTGAAAAATGGAATCTTGTATTTGGAAATATGAATTCTGAAGATATGCTGTCTAGAGGTTACCTTCGCCAATAATTCTTAAAGTCCCGATAGTGGAAGGGTCCAGAATAGTTGTACTATGTTCCTCAGAATTGGCTTGTAATATTGTTGTTTCCGAATTAAAGAACATTGAAAAGGCAAAACGAAAGACTAATCTTAGTGCGGGAAAAAAAAGGCTATAGAATTAATAATTAATTTACTTAGCTAATATACTTTAAGGTTATGCTGAAATAGTAAGAATAAATGTATACATGCTCCGTTTAAAAAGAAATGAAAAGAAATTCTCTATTCATGCTCTAATTCATTCATTCTAACTATTTCATGCTCTTTTTAGATTATTGCAGAAGAATTTCCTAGAGACAGAAAACTACTTTTCCGTTGCATTCAATCTAAAATATTTTGTAAACAGAAGAGCAAGAATAGTTTAAAGACACTTTCAGTCTATGAAGATGTTAAAGGAGTTCTCAGAATGTAGTCAGGAAAAGTGGATTAAATTAATACCGAACAATATACCTATCCACTAAATTCGTTACGTTAATTAAAATGTACCTATACATTAAGTTCTTCGTCCTCATCATTCTTTAGCGAAATGAATGATAGAACACGAACACTTGTTTCATAAGCATGTTGGAACACATTCGTTTTTTACCATAATTTCAGGAAAGATTTCGAATTTTAAAAGGAATAAAGTCTGTTGCACAGAAATGCATTTTATGTAAACAAAATCTTTTACATTTCCATTTCTGCCTCTTCCAAAGGATCGAATAGAGATAACTCCAATAGCCTTCTAAATAACTGGAATAGAGATAGCCTTCCAAATAACTGGAGTCGACCTTTTTTAGGTGAACTAATTTTAACTAACTCATGAAAGAAATGGTGGACTGTTGTTTTTAACTAGGCAATATACAGATCGGTCCATCTTCAACTGATTTAACCTATAAACAATTCTGCCTTTTTAAGAAATAAGATGATTTAAAATTTTAGTCACATATTTGTATAAGGACATTACCATTACTGGAGTAAATTTGATAGGATTTACATTACATTAACCCGTTATCTTATTATTTTATCTGTACTGTAACTTCTACTTTCGTCAACTTCTACAAGAATGCAAATTAATTACATGTTTATAAGAATAGAGTTCTTGAAAGTTAGGGAGAGAACTTTTTCAGCGGCGGTGATCTTCGTGATGTTCCCCTGCGCAATTCTGATAATTAATGAGTGTTAGCTTTTACTAGCCGAGTTTGCTCGCGCATTTAGAGACAGAGTAGAAGCTTCATTTGTTTCGTGAATTTTCGGCGTTAATTTAAATTAAAATTAATACTTTATGTTAGCTTAAATATTGCAAGCAGTGGAAATTGCTTTATAAGTAAGATCTATGCATTTTTTAAGCTGAACTTTAAATAATGAGAAAATTTCAATAAAAAAGTTATTTAAACCTTCTTCTGAGTTAGAGATATTTTACAAGGAAATGCTATAAGTTTTGTTAGTCTCACAAGTAAGCTAGTTTAATGAAATAAGTTTTTTTTTTCCTATCCTAGAACCCATTAAGGAGGCCGAGTGATTCGGTAACTTTTAATCTGACCCTGCAAGATGCAATTTGGTGGAACATCAGCAAGACCCATGGAAAGATTTGGTTATGTAGCAGATGCTATCCCAGCTCCGATGAAATCAGTCATCAGATTGGACGATAGATGGAAGGCCTCAAGAATCATTTCCTGTTCTGTCCAGCAACAGAAGGTTATCATCCGTTCTTAAATCACAAGCTAAAAATTTATTTAAAGGCATTGAGAAGAATGTATTTTGTGACCCCGGTGGTGAGTGTTTTTGTTTACGAAATTTATTGTGTTTTGAAAATTTATATTGTGTATAGCATACTCTTCAGTTTACTTTAATGAAAAGATAGTGCATAGTCAGAAAATTTTGGAAGAGGCATAATAATAGCAATTTACCCTACGTGTTATGCATAGAAGGTGCTACTTTGGTAGACGGTTGCACGGAGTTTTGGCGATTTACGTTGGCGCAGTTTTTACAAACGTCAGCCATCTTGAAAAACGCTGTGTTTACGCATAGTAAAGTATTCAAAACTTAAAAAAAAAAAAAATAAATATCGTTAAAATGTTAAAATGTAAAATTTAAAAAAATAAATATCGTTAAAATCGATGTATTAGTATTGTATATATGGATTAATTTTTTGTTGAAAATGTCGTTTTATAAGATGGCAGGCAAGTGTAAATAAATACATTTACTATGAGTACAAAATACTAAAGTAAGGTTACTATTACTTTCATATAGCAAAGAAGGGAATAAAAACACCGCTATAAAAACATTGGGCGAACGTTTAATTAGATTAAAATATTACTGAAATTGAATATCGAATTAAAAACCATCATACCAACATTTAAAAGAATTAGAATATTATTAAATTCAAATACTTTAAAATACGTTATACAGAATATAATTAACATTAAAACATATGGACAATAATTATCTCAGCAATTTCTGAAAATAGTGTATTAATTTTTTTAATAAAAATTGAAGTAATCAATTATAAAATAAAAGAAAAATATGTACTTACATTTTTTTGAGTATTTAACCTGTTGTTTATTGATAAGTACCACAAAAAAAATCAGAATCATAATTTAGATAACATCTTTGAAGGAATTCGAAGATATGAATTAAATTTTAAAACGGCGCGGAAATGCACAAATTGTCAGTAACCAATCAGGGAGCTGATTACAGCTCGTTAATGCACAAATATTCTATGACCAATCAGAGAGCTTATTACATCACGGCTAGAATTAAAATTGTTTAAAAATTCGTTACATAATAAAACCATTTTTTAAAAAAATGCAAAACTAAATTGTATTTTAATATGTAACAGCCATAAATAATGTTTAAAACATTAGATTAAATTTATACATATTAAAACGAATTACATTTAAAGTAAGGTGACGTCATTGATTACATCATCCACAACATAAAATTTCATAAAATATGATAAACAATAAATTTTTATTTCAAATAAAAATGCAAAATTAAATTGATTTTTAATATTTAAAATCCATAAATAATATTTTAAACACGGAATTTATGCACAATAAAACGCATTATTTTTTTAATAAAATGACAACAAAGTATCGGTTACCATAAATAACTTATCCAGCAATGGGTTACCATAAGTTGTATTACTCGCCAAAGGAAAATCGCCAAGAAATCGCCAAAATCCGTGCAACCGTCTACCAAAGTAGCACCGCATAGAATATGTTAGTGTAATAAAATTTTAATGAAGTAGACTGGAAATTGTGTGTAGATGTTACATGTTAAGGATGTATTAGTATTGTAAAGGATAGTGCATTGTTAATGTAAAGATATATGGAAGTAAGTTGTAGGCTGTACGACGCTGTCGCTGACACCGTAGCGACACTGTACGACACTGTAGAGACTTTGTCGCTGACACCTGGTGCGTCTAGCTGCCAAACCATGTATGATTTGGGATAGACGGCAGAAGTTGTTTTGACTCAAACTACACACAACGTTTGTTTACTCACCGAAACGTTGGTGAGCAGGGTAAGATTCAAGGTGTATTGAAGCAGATGGTTATTGTCAATTACTGATGTAAAATTCTAAAGTGATGTATTTATATTCTATTTATGTGATCAAAAGTGTAAAGTCATATCCTAAGCTATCGTTTCTTCCAGGAGGCTGGGGAACTGAGAATCAAGATCTTCAGGCGTAGAAAATGCCTGTAACAGTGTAACAGCAATTTCAACCTATTACAAAACGCAGGACCCAGCGTAATGTGATGAGAAGCCTTACCTCAAGTTCTATCTGTCTCTTCTACTTTCGTCAACTCCCATCAGGATGCATATTAGTTAAGTTTTTATAAGAAAAGAGTTCTTGAAAGTTAGGGAGAGAACTCTGCAAGCAACGCCAACCTTCGTGACAAATTCCTCATCTAGTTCCAAGGATTATGTTTCAAGGATGTTCTAAGGATGTCCATCTAGTTTCAAGGATGTATTTGAGAGTTATTGAGCTATGGGAAACTAAACACATTATTATGTGAATGCAAAATTTACCATGAATAATCGTCCACTGACTAATTTATACCAAGAAGGTGACGAACCGAGTGCATTGAAACCTTCGATGCTCTTTCAAAATCAAGGGATAATGAGGTTCCCGGTCTAGATCACATTGAGACTAATGTGGTCCATTGCCCAAAAGTTATCGAAACATTTCCAGGACGTAATAGTGGCAATCGTTTCGTAAAAGCAAGAATAGCTAAATAATAGTTAATTAAGACCTATACAGAGATTCTATCCACTAGAAATTAACATCAAGATCGATGAGTCTACGGTAGAAATGAAGCTTTTAATCTAATGATGTCGAGGTTTTGAAAGAAGAAAAAGTTTTGAAGCTGAAGTTATGGAAAATGACAAAGAAAAGTTGACAAATATGTTCCGAGAAGAACGATACAAACGAAAGAAAGACTTACCTTTCAAAATTCTTGAAAATTTGAGAACTTTTCAATGTTTTTGGTTTTGATTAATGTTTCTAAATCTCTCATTTTTCAGTTATGAACGAGTGATCGAAATGCTTATTTTTAGCCTTTACTTATACAAATGTGAGAATTTATTAACAAAAGCTCAAAAACAAAAATGTTCTTTTTAAGCTTTGTATGTTTTTGCTCGATGATGACTTTTTAGAGTGTGCTTTTATGCTCTTATTCTCCTAAAACTCTGTATTACTTGTAAATAAATGTTTATCTTTTAAACAGTCCACAATAGATCGTCACTTAATCTGTTAACATCAGGAAACATTTTTCTAATCTGACATTTTATTTTTAATTATGTGCATATTTAAATATTTCAATCTTCAGTTTGTATACCATACTAAACATGAGCTCAAACTTTAACATTAAGCATCTCGATCACATTTTTAGGTAAAATAAGTTGTATTTTTTAGAATGAATTAAACACGTTGACTGAAAAAAAAGCATAGGGACCGGGGCCGTATACGATGTTAGATTGCATTTCGCGCATTTTTTTTTCACGTGTAATTCTTGTACAAACATCTTTACATTGGTAAAACGGTAAAAATTCTAAGCACAAAATTTACAAACTTAATTTTGCGTAAAAATAAAGTAACATTAAATAAGATTGATAGTACGTGATGCTTTGAAATAAATAAGGTAAAATTAAACAAGATCTGATAAGTTTTTTTTAATTTAAAGAACATTTTCAGGCAGTGATTTTAGAAATTATAATAACATTACAAAACGATCATATTTATTTGATTATATGATCATTAAATTATTAACATTAAAGTGGATTAGTTATTTTAATAATTCATAAAATTCGGAGCGTAATGAAGGGGAGAAAAGATAAAATAAAATCTAGAAGCACTCAGATTTTATATTACGCCCAAAAGGAACCCTTTTTTAAAGTTTTGTGTATTACCTATATTTATTTATTGAATATCATGTTCTTTGCCCGTAAACCACATACATTTGAAAACAGCATATCTTTAGAATTTCCGCACTGGAGATAAAAACTGTTATTTTTAGTGCTCGCTCTGAACTCGTTGAGTTTGTTAATCAAAAATTCGTTAAACGTTTACAAAATATAAAATAGAATAAAACAAATTCGAAATTCGGCGGTCCAGATGGCCATGTTCGGGTGGAGGATTACATTATTCAAAATTTGATGGCTCTAGATACTGTCGTTTTTGTCACAGTACGAGAAACATACATGTATTCGTGCAGATTCTTCATTATTTAATTTCTTTAAATATAATACAGGGCGATAATATTTGGTAACAGAAGTAAGCAAGGAGGCACGGACATTTATAGTAAAACAGCGCAAAATGCCGCTTCGAAACTAACAGCCTTTCTAGGCTACCGCCCCTTTGGGGTAATAAATTAAATTAACAATAAATAAAGAAACGCCTATGCAGAAATAAAAATAAATTAAAAAAATAATCACTATAAAATACAAAGCAAAATTAATTATTACGGTTAAGTACAATTTTAATATTAGAATTAAATGTATAAAAATTTTTAAGGAGTCAAAAGTGTTTATTGTGTATTATAAAATATAGTTGAAATAAAATTCTTTTATAGAAATTGTGTTATAATATTGATCTATAATTTTAAAAAAGCAGCACGATTTAGAATTTTAAATAAAACTTTCAATAATTCGTTTTTAAATAATTTAGTATTTTTACTTATTTACCCCAATAAAAATCATAAAAATTGCTTGTTTGAAATTTTCCATTAGTTTATATTCAAAATATTATTTTCTTAAAGATGTAGTTATAAATTTCCTTACAGCATAGGAAAGGCTCCAAAAATATCCAATAACTTTATAATTATTTGGAACGTTAATTATGCTTGATAAATATGCTAAATTTTTAAAAATCAAACTCAATTTCAAAAATAAAAACATGTAGAAATTCTAATTTGTGAAATGAGGCGCTACAACCAGCTTTTTCTTGACAATTATATACGCTGCAATAGGCAACCATTGTTACATTTCTGCAATCGTCCCTACTTCTTCGGATGTGATCAAGGTGACAGCCAAAAACGCCTCAGACGAGGGAGAAAACCCATTTGGGTTAGTCTATTTCTTATAAAGTCCATGATTTCAACCCTATACTGAAGTGAGAGGCAAGCCAAGAGTTTTGGACTTTACGGAACACTCATATCTGTATATTTTTTTAATAGCAAATAATGTATTTTTACACATTGTGACCATCTCTGGGAAAGCTGCGTCAATTTGTCATCATCAACATTGGAGGTTCCGTAAGCTGGATCAGCTAGACTTATTATTATTCGCCAAAATGGTTATATGAAGCACAGTAGACGCTGGTCAAGACTTCTGTTAACATGATCAAACTATGAGAATAAATATTTTAAATTGTCAAATAAGGTCAAAAGAGCTTCTAAAATTTACTAAGTGAAGAATTTAAGTGGCCAAACAACTTAGTTTCGATTTCAGTCATTTATTTAAATCTAGCGGAAGTACCCGATGCCAGTTAAGTTAGATTGAGAGTAATGCATCTAACAACAGAGCGAACGATATCGCTGTAATCCTTCTCGAATAACGATGCAAAAAATACGATTCATAGTCATACATTTTTCACTCTCATGCGATATGGAACTCAAAATATTTTCGATAGGAAAATAAGCTAACTCTCTCTCATTATATCAGCAACAATTCCATGCAGTTTTTAAGGACTTTCGTCTTTCTAATCAAATGGTCGTAAAGGCTCAAGTTCCATCCAAATATGCCACCTATATTCAAGTTTAGTCGATTAAGTGTGGAAAAATATTTATCATAATTGATCATAAATCAATAACGCGAACAAACAAACAAACACACAGACATTCTTCTTTATATGTATAGATTTTGTAAAATTTAAATTTTTGATTAACAAACTCTACGATTTTAAAGCGAGTATTAGCAACACTTTTCGTAATAAAGCATTTTTATCTCCAACGCGTGACTGATATCGGCACTGTTGCCACTCGGAAAAATGAGTGCGAAAATTAGCGCTTTCAGACTTATTAATTAATATTTCGGCTGATTAAAGTCGTACGAAGATGGGAATAGCCGAAATGGCTTCTTACGAATTTTTGGAATCGATAATAATGTATTTAATGTTTGGCAATGTTAGTTTTATTTCATCGCAAAACTTATAAATTTTTATTAACAAACTCCAGGATTTGAAAGTGAGCAGTGGTAACAACTTTCGAAATAAAGCAGATTTTTATCTCCAGCTTGCGAGACTGTTGCCACCTGGAAGAATAAGGGTGAAAATTATTGTTTTTCCACTTTTTTAATTAATATCTCTGATTTCAGCTATTTTTGGGGAGCGGAAGTGGACGTCGATCGTTTCCAGGACCCAGTTAAGAATTCTAGAAAGTTTGATGACGGTAGCTACAGTAGTGACGCAGTTATTAGAGGACAAACACACAGACTTTCTTCTTTATATATACAGATTGGAAAAAAAGGAACCTAATTTTAGTTTTATGAATCACTCCTCGAGAGTACAAACAAGAACTCATCACTTTCGTCCCTTCCCACACTGGGACTACCTGAATTTGCTGGAAAGAGATATCCAAAGCAGATGATGCTTGTATAATAACTTAATAAGCAATCTTGGGAAAAAAAAATCTACAAATTATTTATCGCTTGAAAGAAAATTTCTTCAAAATATCTACGACAAACTAAGGTTACGTAATTTAAAATTTTACATTGCATGTTACCTTGCAACGAGGAATGCCTTCCGAATATAAAGATTAGGGATCCATCATCGGCCAAATAATTTCTAGAACCGCTATAAAAGTTCATAAGCGAACTTTCGCATTAAAGGCATTATGGATAGTTCCTAAATTAATTTTTGCATTTTCATAATTAAAATGATGTGAAAATACCTATTTATATCATTGTTGATATTTTTAAAAAAAATATTAGTTAAATTTCAGCGCTACTTTGAAGGATATTTTATCTCATCGTTTAATGTTATCAAAATAGCCATGGACAAACGTCATCACATTAAGCTGAGCTTACTGTATACGTCATCTTACATGAGCACCAAGTTCAATAAGTAGATAAAAACTAGTAATCTAATTAAACGTCTACCACATGTTCAACTTCTAAGCTGCTGAAGAAGAACCAATGAGATTGGGACATGTTTGCCAAAATATTAATGTAGAAGACATAGGCTGCGTTGTTCATCTGTGACAATTTTATCCGAATGTAATGTCTCATGAATAGTATGCTCCTTTTGTAAATTAGTGAAATGTACCTGGAATAAGGGTGTATTACTATTTACTTGCCTGCAGTGTTTTCTTGTGAAAATTAACATAGCTACAGCCCCTTACAACGCTGATAAGCAATGTGCTACCATAACTGGGAAAATAAATAAAAAAACACTTGACTACCATAACTGGGAAAATAAATAAAAAAACACTTTCTTATGTTAATATTCCCTTCAGAGTTCTCAATGAAATTCAGTATCACTAATGTAACTTTTAACGCTGAATTTCCAAGCAGTTTCGATTTAAGTCATCATATCATTTATTTTCAAGGTTCTTTACTTGTGATATTTATGGGATATAGCAAAATCAAATTACAGCATTAAAATTTACTCTTCATACCTCGAACTCTGGAACCAAGAATGAAAATAACCAGACATGCTGTAAGTTGCGAGATGAGTTTAAGCACTGTTACATTTAACTCACGATTGGCTTGTATAGCATGTTAATTTTCAGGAGCTGGATGCTTCTTCAAAATCAAAGATGTGGATTCAGTTCATTGGCTGTATGAATGCGTGTGAATTTCCCCATTTCTTGCAAGACTAATATGGTCACCAATGTAGTGAATGTAGACATTGTTCTTGGTGGTGAAACAGCTAAATGACCGTGTGCTTGGATAGCACTTAAACTGTTTGGTCAGCAGATGTCTGACCATTAGATTTAAAGTTATTGAACATATGTTAATTAAGGCAGAGCGTTTATGGAACCCTGTAAAGTTACTATATCTAAACTTAAAGTTTTTTAAAACTTAAAAGAACGACAAGTGAGTTATCATCCCATCTATTATATTAACTAGAGTTTTGAGAAATATTAAATAAATCTTTTTAATACAACTTAGTTCAAAAGTTGCAAAACTGAACTACTTTTGCTTACAAATTAAATCTCCGCCACTTGCAAGAATCAGATAACAGTAGCTGAAAATAAAATTTAGATTGTTTCAAAGAACAATATTTCGAACAATATTT